TACATTGTTACCAGTGGATTATCGGATTTATCCAATCGAGAAATTATCAAATTTTAAAGTCCGACCCTCGGCGAGGACTTTTAAATTGATAATTTAACTATCGAGATTGGATAAATCCGATAATCAACCAGTAACTATATATGAATCTGTTTTTCTAATTATTATCAAATAAATTTTATTTTTCGATAAACGAAAATCCCTTTCGAGTACCTTCCACATTCCACAAAGTTGTCAATTTCATTAACACTTGTTAGCATATTTTGATTCATCCTGTGAGCTGATAAAGGTTATGACCCTTAAACTCATCCAATCATCTTCTGAGATCAATGGCAACCACACGTTGAGTAATTTTTTTATACAATGGGTCCTGAAACGGTTAAATTGGCACAGAACTAAAGAAATTGGTTACATTATTCTATATATAAATCGGCCATTAGAGATGAAGATAGAGTGAGTAAAATCTATTTCACAAAGATATAAAATACCCTTTTCAATTTGCTATACTAATAATAGTGATTATTTAAACAATAAAACATGTATCTTAAAGCTGGCATGTTGTATAAGAAGATATGATAGAAAATCTTGGTTTGTAGAAATAAAGTTAGGTCAGCTCACGAATGGGTATTTGCTATAGCCGGCGGAATTTCCTGTATTTATCGTTAGTGGACATGGTACGAAATAAAAAATTGTCAATCGAAGCTGTCTTTTTTATTTTTGTTCTTTGTGTAATTGAATGAAACCATTTGGTTCTCATGTTGACAAAATTTTTGAACTCCTACGCTGTGTATCGATTTTCGTTGAACATGTGAATTATGAAATGTATCTTAAAATTGAATTAAATGTAGCCATACTAGGATATATTGCAAGAGTGGTTTAAAGAGGTAAAAAAGATCACAAAGCCTTAAAAGCAGGCAAGACTATGCAAACATATAACACGGAAAACAAGAACTGCAACAAGTACCAATATAGGAAGCCTATATAACACTGGTATTCAGGTAGGATAAGATAACTATATGCTCTAAAGAGCCTGTGTCGCTCACCTTGGCCTAGTTCGAATTCATGACAACAATCTCTGTTTTGTTGATTTTGTAAAGCTGATTATTTAGTCTGTTTAGTTTCTATCTATCTCCTTTAGTTTTTGCTCAAAAAACATAAGAGGGTAAAAAATATCCCAACCAAAGGGCAATTACTCCTATTAAGAGTGACAGTCTGCTTACTGTATCGTCAAAATTTTACTTGTTAGTTGATAATTTTTGTGATTTAAAGTGTCTTTTTATCTATTATAATTTTTAACATATAAGGCAAAACGCAAAAAAAAAAATGGTAAAAATCGTCATTAAAAGGCAATAACTCCAATAACGAGTCATCGAATGAATTGTCTGAATTGTAGATCTTGTCTTCCTGATCATTTTTGCCAAATTAAGTTTCTATCTATCTATTATAATTTTTAAGATATAAGGCAAAAACGTAAAAACTTGTAAAAATCGACACCAAAGGGCTATAACTCCAACTGACAATTTCGACCACTGCAGTCTTATTTGTAGAACTTGTCATGCTGATCATTTTTGCAATTTAAAGTTTCTCTCTATCTGTTATAGTTTTCAAGATAGTATGCAAATATCTAAAAATGGTAAAATTTGTCATTTAAGGGTAATAACTCCTATAAGATGTCGTCTGACAGTTTTGACATAAATGACCAATTGATAGAGCTCATCATTGTGAACATTTCTGCCCTTGTCAGATTTCCCTATTTATAACGGTTTACAAAATAATAGACAAAACTTGCGTTTTACCCCTATGTTCTATTTTTAGTCGTGTCGGCTTGGTTGGCAGGCAGGGTAATCGGACACAATTTGTTAACTAGAGACCCCAATGTTGATTGTGGCCAAGTTTGGTTATATTTAACCCAGTAGTTTCAGAGGAGAAGATTTTTGTAAAAGTTAACAACGGACGACGATGGACGACGACGAACGCCCAGTGGTGAGAAAAGCTCACTTTGCCCTTTGGGCCAGGTAAGCTAAAAAGGGATTTAACACTCGTTTTGTCTTGTGCTTAAAACATTTATTGCATTTGTGTAGAAACCATTCTGCATACTGCAGTATACACTAAACTAAACCATATTTCTTACAGAATTGTGGAGTGATATCGGTAAATATAATAATTACTGTTTCTACATGGTCTTATGAATTGTACTCCTACATTCCTTTATTTGCATTTGTCTATTCCAGATACCGGAAATGAACAGGGAGGCAGCGTCAGAAGAAAATAAAAAGAACATTGGGCCTCTGCAGATCTTCTTTCTTCAGAACTTTGGAATGGGCGTTGGCTTCAGTCTTATACTTATCATGGCAGTTTATGGAGAGAATATTGAATCCTAGACATTTGGCCGGATATAAATATTTGAAAATTTTGTACAAAATGTTACAGACATTTTACAATGGTACTTAAATGAAACAGAGAAATTGTACAATAAGTTTAGTACACCACACACAATACCAATAATCATTTATTGCTGCTTCTTTTAAAGACTTGTGAAATATTAAACACTGTTTAATCTATAGGATTTTCTACCTCCAATTATATTACGCGGACAGTAGATAACCACTTCTTCGAATCTCGTAAATCAATGAGAAATGACAAAGCAAGGAAAAAAACAACAAGAGTGCACACACTGAAATGTCTCGCCTTCTATACTGACCATTGATGTTGATAGTCCTACATATAAAGTTTTACTACAAGTATCACATTAACATTTATAATCCAAGAAAATGAGGTCGAGGTAACAAAAAACTTAGCCGGAAATACATATACACCGGAAATACAATTATTCCATATACAGAATATAGATGACCTATTGCTATAGTATAAAAGAAACAGACCAAACCATGGAATTCAATATTGACCAATGAACCATGAAAATGCAGTCAAGGTCAGATGAACCCTGTCAGACAGACATGTACACCTTAAAATCATTCCATGTATCAAATATAGTTGACCTACTGCTTATAGTATCTAAGAAACAAAGTTACACAACTATTTGAGTACAAGTAATCTTGATGTACAGTTCTAGAGATGCATATCAAATGTACATCTGTAAAGATGTATATAAACTGTACAGCTGTAAAGCTATATATAAACTGTACATCTGTATAGCTGTATATAAACTATACATCTGTTAAGCTGTATATAAACTGTACATCTGTAAAACTGTATATAAACTACATTTTTTAAGATGTATATAAACTGCAACTCTGTAAAAATGTACATTAACTGCACATTTTTAAATTTGTGTATAACTTAACATATAGATTATTCCACTGCATCTTGTGTGATACGATATATATCCAACAGTTTATATACAGTTTTACAGATGTATAGTTTATATACGGCCTCACAGATGTACAGTTTATATACAGCTTTACAGCTGTACAGTTTATATACAGCTTTACAGATAAACAGTTTATATACAGTTTTACAGACGTACAGTTTATATACAGCTTTACAGATGTACATTTGATATGCATCTTTAGAAATGTACATCAAGATTACCTGTACTAAAGTAGCTGTGTAACCAGGAAAACTGAACATTGACCAATGAACCATGAAAATGAGGTGAAGGTCAGATGATACCTGCCAGACAGACATATACACCTTACAATCATTCCATACACCAAATATAGTTGACCTATTGCTTAAAGTTTAAGATAAACTGCTTCGCTGAGCGCAGCTAGATACGCCCGCAGAGGTCCAACCCTGAACAGTTGGGGCTAAAATGGACACAATATTCCAGCTTGATTCAGGTCTGAATTTGGATTGTAATTAAATATTTGACATATTATAGGTTTCTGAATAAATGTAGTCAAAGAACTTGAAATTGGTTATATGAATTGAATTTATATTCAATTAAAGATTTCTTGCTGTTGTGCAATACTTAGTAGATCTGTTGTCAGACTATAAACAAATAAAGTTCAATTAATTCTCAATGTCATATTACAAATTTATGAAAATAAAAAGGAAGCTTACATCAATAGATATAAACAATTCACCAAAGTTTCATGAGAATTGGTGACAACATTTTTGAGTTATTGTCCGAAAACTGGAAAATCACCCCTTTTTTAATGAATAAAACTCCATAATTAAGAAATGTAAAATGTAAAATTTATAAAATTCTAAAGGGAGCTTACTTCAATACATACAAACAATTCACCAAAGTTTCATAAGAATTGCTGAAAACATTTATGAGTTTTTGTCCGAAAACTGGAAAAATCCCCCTTATTTTATGAATAAAACCCTGTAACTCGGAAACGTAAAATCTAAAATTTATACAAATCGAAAGGGAGCTCATGTCAATAGATATAAACAATTCACCACAATTTCTTGCAAGTTGGTGAAAGCATTCTTGACTTATTGTCCAAAAACTCGAAACTCTCCCTTTTTTTAATAAATAAAACCCCATAACTCGGAAACGTAAAATCTAAATTTTATAAAAAACGAAAGGGAGCTCACGTCAATAGATATAAACAATTCACCAAAGTTTTATGCAAATTGGTTAAATAAAATTGAGAATGGAAATGGGGAATGTGTCAAAGAGACAACAACCTGACCATAGAGCAGACAACAGCCGAAGGCCACCAATGGGTCTTCAATGTAGCGAGAAACTCCCGCACCCGTAGGCGTCCTTCAGCTGGCCCCTAAAAAATGTATACTAGTTCAGTGACATTAAAGCATTTTTGAGTTAAATGTCCGACATGTTGACGACAGACAGACGGACAACGGTATACCATAATACGTCCCGTAAACGGGCGTATAAAAACAGACCAAAACACAAAAACTTAACTTAAGCAATGAACAATGAAAATGAGGTCAAGGTCAAATAAATCCCCTGCCAGACTGACATGTACATCGTATATTATTTCCATACACGAAATATAGTTGACCTTTTGCATACAGTATTAGAAAGTATTAGTAGAGTTTCAGTTGATAACAATTATAACACTAAATACTGTTTGGATAATATCGTGTCTTTATTACTGAGAATCATGTTAAAACGCACACATTTTTCATTCTTATCATAGTGTTATCCTAATATGATGTTAAATAAAAATTACTATGCCCTATAGCTAAGTCATGAGATCACTGTATATGACATTCTAAAAACTGAACAGTTTGTGTGTCTGACTGACATGAGTATAAATTCTGTATACTGTTACAATAAATATATTCTATAACCACTTATACATGATAAAGTAGAATGATGTATGCCTTTAGTCATTTCATAATAATAGCAATCATGTTACAGTTACAGTCAATTGATTTTTCAATATATTTCAAAATCGCCTGAAGATCTTTTAATCTTTTCATATGACTTTAAGACTGGATGTAAGGCTTGAAAACAATGCTTAAATATGTCAAGTCAAGGATCCAATTTACCAAAATATGCTGACTGTTTGCTATTTGAGCAGCTTGGAATGTTGAGTAGACTGGATCTGTGAATACTAACTTTGTACAAAGGTAGGTGAATGAGTCCTCTACTAAATAGAATAATTTAATTAAAAATATTAAAATTAAAACATTAATTAAGATAGATGCTAAACTGAACTTTGATTGACAAATAAGTAAAGAAAAATAATAGAAACCTGTTAATTGAAATTTTTTACAGCAGTTGTTATAGTTAGAATATGACCCTATAATAAGTCAGTAAAAACATGAAAGGAATTATAAAGAAGCTGCATCATTTAACTGGCAGTGATGATTGACTTCATTCATTAATTCAAATTTTTGTCATTCTCCCCTAATTCATTTATCTATATTATTTGGCATTTTCCCCAAATTTGTTATTGTAGTAAGGCTTAAATCATAATAGATGGACGACAATTAAATAAATGTTTTTTTTTCAATTTGGTTTCAACTGATTCCATTATGAACAGTCTGAATGTAATTGTGCTTGTATGAAATGAAAATAATATATTTAGGTAGGCACTAGAAATTAAGATCAATCATATTAATATTGGACATTCTTTGTATGTCTAAGAGTAGCCTTCATTGTAGTGATTATGAGATATCACTGGATATCATCCTTACCAAAAATTCCCCCTCTATGCAATCTGACTCAATTTGGGCCAACTGAGTTTTCAAATAGGATTTTTTTTTTAAATTTGTATGAAACAAGGTCCTTCATTAAATTATTTCGACACAGTGGTAGTACAATTGCATAATTTAAAGGCTTGCATGAAAACTGATGCTTTAATTAAACTTTGATTGAATGATTTGAGAAAGTGCGGATCAGAAATAACTTGAGACAAAGTTGACCTTTTTTTTTTATTAGGCTATTTTATATTCACTGATTTGACACGTATCAAAGTACCTATAAATCCTTGGCTTTCAAATCTTTGGTTTTGAATGTACCTGATGCAGGTAGATCTAGAAAAACGCCTCAGATGAACCATATTTATAACGTATGTTTTCATTTTGAGACATTGTTATAAATATTTAGTGTAAATAGAAAATATGGACATTTGTGTAATCATTTTTTTTTAATAAATAGAGTGTATTAACTGCATCAACTGCCTGAACATAAATAATTCTATCCTTTTTTTCCCCAGTTGAATAAATGTCTTCATGAAGAAATAAAAGTGACAGGAGACATATTTCACACTTTCAAAATTGATATACGATATATATAATAAATACATCAGCATGCAATGCTAATAATTTTGTACATATTATGTTCAGGAGGAGATAATTGGGAAAAAGTAGCAACAAATTTATAATTTAAAAATCGAAATGTAAGAAACAAGTGAAAACTTCCTCTTTCCATGAAAAAATTTATTTAATAATGTGTCTTTCACAACAAAAACACCTCTTCCATTATTTCATGCAAATGATCAATTTAATCAAAATTGTATCTAAATCGAAACTGCTCAAGCAGAACTTAGGTTTATCAATCATGGTATTGTCAATGTACATCCTCCTGATTATCCTGGGCATTTCTAATTTTACTGAGTTTTATTTGTTAATTTGTTGGTTAATAACACCTCTTTCAACGACCTTAGCAGCCAGGTTTTGTTGGATTAGGAAGCCAGAGTACCTGAATAGAACCATCAACTGGATAACTGACAATCATTGTTATTTTAAGATCAAAGTCAAATGTAAATTGCCAGAAACAGTGTTAAACTCATGAATTTAGAAATGAAAGGCTGACTTTTATGAGTAACAATGTTTTCAACAGCATTTGATAATTTAAGACTGAACAAACAATTTTCAATAAAATATGCTTTTAAGACAGGTACTTTTGTGGCAAGAGCACTCTTTTTATATCTATGTTCTTATTTAAGACTGAAACAATTCATACAAATATAAAAATATATGCAGCTATTGGATTTCGACTAAATGTAAAATTGAAATAACACTTACATATTTTTGTAATTAGAAACTGAAAATTATGATAGTACTTTATGATAACACACAATCATGATATCCATCTTTGCATGTTGTATAAAATTTCAGCACATCATTAAGAAAAAAAATTCAAACTAACAGTACAAATTGTACAAGAGATATTCTATGCTGAATAATTTGCATAACAAAACAGTTAAAGCAACACACAATCAATTATATAAAATAAAACAAAACAAAACAAAACAAAACACACCTCTTTTGACAGCTTAATACCATGCTAACAATAGAAGAATATGGTCTGTAATTCTACATGTAATTTCAATTCAACTGATGGATAACAATATCTGAGTAGACAGATAGGAAAAATAAAAGATAAACATATCAAAAATATTGGGAGAACATGAATGTTATTTTGAGAAATTGTTATCAAGTTATATTAGTAATATTTTTATGCAAGATCCTTAATCTAGCACTTCAACTATCAGATATTTCCAAGTCATGCATTCTTTCTTGAATGTGTTAAACACTTCACATATCCTCATGATAGAATTGAAAAGAATAGATAGATGATATAAATTTTCATTTCTGTAATTACCTAAGGTTTTACCTCCCAAAGGCGAGACAGACCTTAGAAGATTTTGATTGTGCTGCTGAGTGCTGCTCAAGATGTTATTGCAAGGAATTGGGGCTTTGGGTGGGGTCAGAGGACACTTCAATTAAAAATTTACAAACTGCAGGGTACACAAAAATGCCTTCTGAACCCCAATACAATTATTCCTGGAACAGCCCTTAGGTCCTCATTGCTTCCAAATGAATTATTTATGTGGCTTAGCAAACTTTCCTTTTGAGTGTACCCGAAAGATTATTCCAGAATTATGTGTGATGCTTACAGAAATTTGTTTCATAAATGAAAATAAGGACTTTATAAATGTCGTGCCTCCACAGCTCTTTTCTGGATTCATCAGGAACACTAAAACACAAACATAAACATCTGAAAGCCAGGGATGTAAAAATATGTTGCCACGTTAGATATATGACCAAAGGGACCTAAAAAGGATACCCAAATTAATCTGAGGTATTCTTTGACTGAAGGAGTTCGTTTCTAAAATAATAAGTGTACATTGTAAAACTAACTGATTCTGATAAGCATATGGATTTTTGCAAGAGATTAAATTATCAAAATACAAAAATTCATAAAACACCACTTAAAAAATGCTGTCAATATATAAATGCTTAAAATCAACACGACTGCTTAAAACAAAAATCATGCAACATATGTTATTCTGGTATTTCCTTCAATAATAAAAATGTTAGTAACATTTTAGAATACCTTGAATGTTTTACACCACAACAATATCAAACCATATAAACAAATTATCTTTCTACCTAAACATACTAACACAAAGGTTCAAGACATATAAATAAATATACCAGTCCTAAATTTACTAAATTTACTATTTACATGCTATTTTCTATGTTTGTTAAAGAGAATCTGAATTTATCAGAAGTTATGTTATAATTTTGCATTTACATCCTTTTTTAAACAATAACTAATTTATGGAAACAATTTCTAAATAGGACATTAAAAAAAGCAAGGAAATTTACAGGAAATAAATGTGTTCTGAAATAAAAATTGTCTTGACAGTCTACTAATTTGAAGGCAGGAGTATTTTACTGTAAAAACAGGTTCCAAAGTACTAATTATTCTGTCCATATTACAGTATATCAGTTCGAAAGATTGTTTTTGTGAATTTACTTGCTTTATTCAAGCAAGATAGAAAGAATCAATAAGATAAACCAACAATTAAATTTGACGCTATATAACACTAAAAATATATTAATATAATAATACATGTACATACAAAAATGTTAAGTCAATGAATTTCATACTTTTTACTTAAAGGAAATTTGTCCCAAGAAATATAAATCTTTCTACAGCATTATACATATTAAACACTATTTTTAAAACCAGGAATATGTTTGCTATATTACAAATATATATATTTTTAAAAAGACTAGATTAATCATAGAGACTTAATAATACATGAAAATATATATTTTGTTAAGATTGTTTTGAAGTATTTCTTGTATCTCCTTTCCTTCATGACATATAACAAATACATAGCATACTAGAACAACACTGCAGTACAGTCTTTTTCACTAGACTTGGTGCAACATTAAATACATTTGACACAACAAAACATTTTAAATCTGAATCTTGTATAAAAGAATCTTGTGATCTTGATAAATGTATTTTTAATGTGTTGATATGCAATATATTTTTGAAGTTATGATTTTGTCATGCATGAACTATTAACCTTGCACATACTGATCAGTTTATATTGATCATCATTTGATATAAAGGTAAATGTCCTGTACACAAGCTAAGGGCATTGTCCCATTAATAAACATCTGCTGAAATAACATTTGTACAAAATTCCTTTTGCACAGTACTAATACTATCAATCATATTAATAATCATGTTGTTCTCTTACAGTAATATTTTGTAAAACAATTACCCATGCAAATATATCAAGGCTCTTTTAATTGCCCAATAGTCAGACAGGTGATAATCATCAAATAGTCTTTTACAACAACCATTAAACATGAGCAACATTTTCAGATGTTTACCAAGTTATTCATTCATCTAATAGTCAAGACAAATCAATCGATGAAAAACACATTTATTGTCTTTGACATCTGGAATATTAGTTAAAATACATATGTGACTTTTAATTTATAAGACATAAAGTATAACAAGAAAAAAATGTTAAACTTAAGTTTAAAAATCAATATCTTTCCTAAACCCCAGGTTTTATTTTACAGTATTATGTAAAGTATATATATATATATAATGTAGCCCTATCCAGACACCCATTGAAGGAATCACAACGGCATGGATGGATGGATTGCTGTTTTAAGTCCAGTAGCAAATTAAATGCATATTCAGGACTAGAACATGATAATGTAATATGAATATGAACCCTGCTCTGTACTAGACCAACACAGTCACACTGAGACCGATTGAGTGCTAGTTCACAAGGTAACAGCCCACAGGATGACATGTCACCCTACAAAGACACAGTATTTTGACTCAAGGTTTACAAGTCTTTGTTATTACTTCTAAATGCATTCAAACAGATAAGGGCTTCTGGAAGTGAGTTTCAAAAAAATTCTAAATGAAATGGACCTGGTTAATGAAAAAAATGCTCAATTTTATCTTTAATCCTTCCAATATTTTTTGTTTACTGTAAATTCAGAAATTATTGCGTGCATTTATTACTGCAATTTTTGAAAAATTCACATAAATGTGAGATTAATTATTGTGATTTCAGGAAAATCTGCATACAGATATATGTATCAGATATCAGAATGCGAGTTCTTATTATTGAGATATTCACCCAATCACATTATTCACATTAATAAAACCTCGCAATAATTTCTGAATTTGCAGTATTCAAACTTTTGATTTTATCAATGCTTAGATAAATTACAACAAACATTATATAACTTTGAAGAAAATAATGATCAAAATAAATTTGTGAAAACCACGTACACTGATTGTCTTATGAGTTATGTGTGAATGTGGATGATAATAAAATTAAAATCAGTACACAAATAACTGAATTCAAAATACCTCTGTAAATAAGGTTTATGTTGTAGATATCTAAATAGCAAAAAACAATGCACTATAAAACATCTAGCATATCAAATATATAATGATCAGTGAATTTAATAAAAATATAAATAATATACACGATTGGACTGGAATTCAATCAGAAATGGCCTTTGTCAGACAATTTATTATAGCTCATCGTATTTAAAGCGTAACTTTCTAAAGCAATTTGATCTTTTAAATTGTTAGATAAATTATTTTATATCTTTCTAAAACTAGGCTAAAAGGAAGAAATTGTTTCATCTTTGAAAATGGACTTTTTGTTTGTAACACTGTAATTATTAGACAGATAAAAGTGCCATATATGAGTAGCATTCCAGAGAATATTGATAAATAATACATATAAACAATCCATATTTTTCAATATGAAAAAAACAGTTTTAAATAAACTTATTGATTTGATGCCAAAATTCCTGGTTGAAATTATTTTATAAAAAATATGACATCAGCATAACATATGTATTCTAAATAGCTGTGCCTGGGAAGCTAATGATTAATTGTGAGATCCAAACATTCTTCTATGTCATGAAAGAAAATTCAAATATCACAGGAAAGTTCTATTGATATTCTCAATATAAAAAAACTTATGGTAGAAGTATAACTTTGCATTCACTTAAAGAAAATGTGTAAGTCAACAATATTACAGGGGTTGACTTAAGCACTGGCCCTCTGGCCCAAGGCCAGTAGAATTTCGATAGGGCCAGTTAAACATAAAGATTACTGGCCCCATTGGCCATTACATCTGACTATTTTTTCACTTAGATAGTATTATTAGGGCAAATTTTATTTGAGTTGGGCCAGTAAATCTAACTGGCCCTATTGGCCATACTTTTAAATTTTGTTAAGTCGACCTCTGCAATAATCATGTATCATATATGAAAATCACCTAATGAAATATAATAATTTGGCATTAATGTATTTAAATAAAATCATTGATATAAAAATGTCATGAATTATAATATTACCTCCTTTTTAAAACTGTTTCAAACAGTTATCATGTATAAATAAAATATATTCCACATTACACTCTCAAATTTTTGCTTAGGGCTGTTCCATTAAAACATATATGATACCCAGGGAAGGCACTGTAAAAATGGGCTAACCACCTATAGAGGAATATTAGAATTTAACTTACATTTCCACTATGCAAAATCATAGATGACACCCACCCATAGTTGAGATTTGGAAGTGACTTCCCTGGGTCCCATGTATGTTTTTATAGAACAGCCCTTACAATGTTTTAATTTAAACCTTCATTTTAAATGATAATTCCCCCCTTCCATTTTATCAACAGAAAACAAACTGTGTCTTCTTCATTTTTCAAAGATAATTCCCCCTCCATTAAAGTGATAAAATCATAATATAAAAGTGTTATGAATTATAATAATCTCTCCTTTTCAAAACTGTTTCAAACAGTTATCCTGTATGATCATGATGATTAAAATAAAATATATATCCCACATTACACACTCAAAAATTTTGTCCACTTCGTGACTTATATATTTCCTTTTCAATGATCATTTTCCCCCTCCATCTTCCCAACAGAAAGCATACTGTGTCTTCTTCACTTTTAGAAGTTAATTTCCCCTCCATTAATTTAATACAATTATTAATACAAAAATGTCATAAATAATAGTAATCCCTCCTTTTTACATCTGTTTCAAACAGTTATTAACATGTATATTTAAAACAAAATATATATCCCACATTATACACTCAAACTTTTGTTTTTTGTTTAAGCTTACACCTTCATTTTTCAAAGTTAATTTCCCCTCCATAAATAGACATTATCAATATTACAGTGAATCCAAGAACTAATCCAACATTCTGTAGAATAAAGATCTGAAATGAACCTATATTCTTCTTATTTTCTTCGGACTCTGCTGCACTGTTCATTTCTGGCATCTGAAATGAAAATTGCAAATGTGTCAGATCTCTAATGCGCAGGTGTGACATTATTGACATCTAGCAAAGACTTTTTGCTTAACAGGTACTAGATGCTGCCCTTAATTTGCTGTGAGCTGAGGGTTTTTTCTCTGTATTAAAGACTACATTGTCATGAAGAACAGCAATTATAAGATTTTTCCTTGGTTAGAGTTTTGTCAAGTGCATGTAGAGATTTTGTGTCATGTCAATAAACATTGCTGTGTATCACAATACACTTTGAACCCATCAGAATGAATATGATTTGACGTGGCCTTGAAGACCCTAATTGATTAAGAAAGTTGTCTGCATATTGATTACTAAGCTGTAAACTCTTATGTTATGAGGTCGATCACTATTTGCAGCGAGATGGGTTTGACTCCAATCTCAATTGATAAGCATTGCCAGTTTTCTTGCCAAACTTTGGAGTTTTCTCTAGATACTCTAGCTTCCTCTGGCAATAACAACTTGCCCCCATGATATAACGAAGGCTGCTGATATTTGCATTAAACACCAACAAACAATCAAACAAACACGAAATGTAATGCCAGAGCAAATTGACAAAATACTTTCCTCAAAGTCATGAGTTCTTTTTCATAATTTCTTGTAATAAACTTTCATTGATTCCCTTTTCTTTCTGTTCTGTCATTTACTGAATGTAACATAGACATTGCAATTTTTTAAAGATTTAAAATCCCACATTTAAGACACTTTATAAAGCAGATATAACTTATTTGTGGTTACAGTGCAGCAACTTCTTTTTTTCTTCTAGGATTGAAAAGCACTAGTGCAAATTACAAATAGAGTCATGCAGGTGCCCATACCAGTCAACTGGTATCTTACATTAATATTGATTTGAGTACCATTAATGTAAACTATGCTCTTCACTGGAAGTCCTCATCATTTGATATTTATAATTTTGAAACTCATTTCAAAATATATGGAGAATGTGTCCATGAGACACAGATGATGTCCCCGTTTGCATATAACGTTATGAAGGTCATAACTTGAGAACGGTATAAGTGACAACACCCAAATTTGAACTTGAGCAGAGTTTTGTGGTAATAAGCATTGTGTATTAGTTTTATAACATTTGGTTGAGGCAAACTTAAGTAAGAGAACAGAAACGATATATAAAGGGCATAATTCCAGAACGGTAGAAGTGACACCTCCCAAATATAACCTTGATCTGTGTTTTGTAGCAATAACTATTGTGTACAAGTTTCATAACATTTGGTTGAGGCAAACTTAAGTTAGAGAACAGAAACTAATTTTGGGACGGATGTACAGACAGACAAGGGTAACACTTAATACCCCCGCTGCAGCAGCAGGGGCATAAAAATGATTTCATGGAACAAACCCTACTTATTTTCTAAACTCCTTTATTATATGGATTTACTCCAAACAATTCACTCTGATTCATTTTACAGGAATTTACAGACTATGAAAAATAAAGGGCAAATAAAAATGCAAATTTGGAATTATCTCCTCTTAAATTCTCCTATTTCATACACTAAAAAACTAACATACCATGTCAACCAAAGATATATACAGGAACATTCCAGCGGCTATTGCAAACACCCAGTCATGTGCTGTTGTATTCTCTCCAAGTAATATACCAACAATGAGACCAAAATAACACATGCATGCTGATAGGAAATTATACATCAGAGCCTTCTTCACAGTCATACCTGAATTCAACAGGATTGCAAAATCGCCTGAAAATAAAAATAAAAAAAATAAACTGACGATGTTTATAATTCAATAATTCTCATACAATTATAAACAATCACTTAGATGTGTGTACAATTTGAGCTGAACATTACTCATACAAAAATATAAGAAAATCAATCAATTCGAGATATTGTAAATCTGAACATCTTTATATACCACAAGTCAAAATCCCTGAGCTGTCTTCATTTTAATTTTTAATGGATGATATATAACATTTAACAATACATTAAATGTAGTAATTACCTTACTCTATAGTTTAAGTTGATATAAAGACTACTAGATAAAATAAAAAAAAATTGCACACAAGTCAGTGACAAAGTTTACTCAAACTCTATATTAAACACAGACCAATTCACCTGCTGTGTGGATATATTTAAATTTCAAAGTACTGTAAAATTGGAAGTGAATTCACGGTATATCTTAAAATTATTTACATTGTACAATTCAACATTGTAATGTTCAAAACGAAATATCAAATCATTTCTTAATACAGAAGATATATAATATGTATTAATGAGTAACAGACATGACAGACAGATGACGGACAAACAAGGAGTCTTATAAAAACTATATGGGATTCTGGCTTAATGAATAAATTTCATTACTTATTACTTCTAATAAGGATGCAGCAGATTAAATTAAAGACTAGTGTTCCAATGACCACAACAGTTGCATATATTTCAATCTTTCCAAGGGCAATAACTCCAAAATGGTGTTAGTGTTTTTTTTTAAACATTTCATTAATGCAGACACAAGATTGCTAGCAATGTTTTTTTTCATATAATTTTAATTAAATGTTTGGTTTGCACTGTTCCAAGCCCATCCTGGTATAAATCTTTCATATAAGTTTCATAATAAAATGCTTCGCTGAGCGCAGCCTGATACGACTGCAGAGGTCGAACCCTGAACAGTTGGGGCAAATTTGGACACAATATTCAAGCTTGATACTGTCTGAATTTGGATTGTGATCAAATTTTTGACATAATAAAGGTTTCTGACACAAAATAAATGTGGTCAAAGATCTTATAAATCCATTGCGCAATACTGTGCAATTGAAGATTTCTTCTTGAAACTTATCAAAAATTCGAAATTTAAAAAATTTTGAAAAAAAATATGAATCCCTTAAAAAAATTGGGAAAAAATCCCCCCCCCCCCCCCCCCCCCCCCCCCCAATTTTTTGAAACCACCCTTGGAGCAATAACCCCAAAACTCAATCCCAGCCTTTCCTTTGTAGTATGGAACCTTGTAGTACAATTTCAGAGAGATCCATACACTTACACACAAGTTGGTGTCTGGAAACTAGAAAAATGCTTGTTTTTTGCCCCTTTTTGGCCCTTAATTCCTAAACTGTTGGCACCCATAACCCCTAAAATGAATCCCAACCTTCTATTTGTGGTATTAAACATTGTGGTACAATTTCAGAGCAATCGAAATACTTATACACAAGTTATTATTCTGAAACTAGAAAAATGCTTGTTTTGGGCCCCTTTTTAGGCCCCTAATTCCTAAACGGTTGGAACCATCATCCCCAAAATCAATCCCAACCTTCCTTTTGTGGGTATTGAACCTTCTTAAAAAATTTCATAGAGATCCATTTACTTAAACTAAAGTCGACTAATTGATCTGTTCTGATTTTAGTGATTTAACAGTGGTGATACAGACCTTTGATAAAAAGTTCATAAAAATCTGGTAAAATTGTATAAGTGAGAGTGCTAACAAGACCAGATGGAGAGACTGACAGACAGACAGAGGGAAGTCTGGAATTTCTAGGTCCCCTGCAACGCTTTGTGTGGGGACAAAAAAACAGTAATAAGAAAGTCGGGAAGTTGAAAATGAAAAAAAAGTTTTACCAGTTGTCTTATGTTTACAATTGAAAAAAGAATGTAAAAAGAACTACTTTAACTAGACAATGCTTGACAAAAGTGTACACAGACTTCACATAGTCAATTTCTTTTCCTATCTTTATTGCTGTAAAGTCAAGGCTTTTAAGACAAAATTGTAGGTTCTTATCAGAGTGTTATAGCATTTATAAATAATATAGCTCAAATGTAAGTCTGCTGATATTCTACACTTTAAACAATGCACTAATAGTTAACTGAACTATCAATATAAGAGTAACTTTCAGTTCAGACTCCATATAAAATATCAAAGCATTTTGAGACCAGATTTACTGCCCTTGATTCCTCAATTGTTACCTTGATTGGCAATGATAAATAGCTGCAAGCAAAGTGCTATTAAATATTTTAATATAAAGATTATTTCCTAGCTTTATCATTAATTATTGTACCATATAAATCCATACCATATAATGGAAAGGATATGGTGTATCGATTCAACACAAGAAATCACCATGCACATGAAAAAAACAAAAGCAAAGGAACAGAGCATTTATTACTGTTCTTCATCTCAAAGTCACAATCAGGTCATACTTTTATAAATATTTTTTTTTACCTAGCTCATGAGGTAACTCTTCACAGAATACAGACACACATATACTGATCCCTGCCAATATGTTATCTGTAAATGCTGCACCTATTGTTAAACCATCTATAAAATTATGTAAACCATCTCCAAATATGATCATCCAAGCTACCGTAGCCACTTGCTTTTTCTCTTTTTTTCCCGATCTTTTGGCCTCACCATTTAGAAACTAGAAATTTAAAGTTTGAATGTTTAATAACAAATAAATATCACACTTTATCCAGTTTGTTTTCAATGCATTTTTTGCTGTATTTAAAGTTGATGTTAGGTCTTGGATACAAGTATTATTAAGAGAGCCTCTGGTATTTATTTAGTTACAAGTAAGTACATGAACATATTTTAAGCCACTGTTTTAGAAACAAAACTATTCATAATTTTTTTTACCATATGAATATGAAATAAAGATAAAATTAACTACCAATAATTTATATTCATGTGCTTTCAAAGATCCCCCAAATTTAATGTTTTTGGTACTGCTTCACTGTCTCTTGTGAAACTGTCAAAGTCTTCCTTTGATTTGTATAATTAAAAGGATAAAGGAAGGTAATGATACCAACTTTGGCCATTTTTAGTCTATAGCTTTCAGAAGCAGCTTTTCTACAATACTTATTATCCTCAAGTGTAACCATGATAACCATGAAAAAGATGACAAACAAACTTGATATTTGAAGATTCAATAATCTATTATAGTCTCACCACATACATATGATACTAACATAAAATATATCAGTTTTACAAAGAACACATTAAACAATTAAAACATTTAAAATGTATGCCCCAATTTTTAAAGATTTGTAACAGACTTTTAAGACATAATATATATATATATACAAATTTACACATCTACATAAACATGTAATATTTATATTAACAGATTAAATTGGTTTTTTTTTGTTATGATTTTTTGATAACATTTTTTTTTAAGGTTTATTTTCTGTATTTTGTAATTTTTTGTGTTTAATACTAATTCAACACTAAACGTACCCCACCATTATTGGAACTGCGTTCATCTGTATCAAGTTTATCTTCCAGTGTGTCAAAACTTCCCATGCTAGGAGTTTTATCATCTAATGGCCGAGTACTGGAAAATGACGATTCTGATTTACTCATATGGAGGTGTACTGGTAAATTATTTGTATTTTTGTATTTAGCGTTGACATTTACGGGTGTATTTTGTTTAATACTTGGATACTGGTTCTCCTCTGCATTTGGCTAAAATAATACAAAAAATATATAATTTTTTTTTTACGTAACTCAAGTTTTCCTTCCTAACAAACAAGTGCAATTACATTGTAGTCAATTAGTGATTGAATTGATTACACATTAAAAATGGAATTTTGATGAAGCCAACTTTAAGCCCTTGAACTTGATTTTTTTTTATATATCTATCAAACAAAATGCTTCAGATGTTTACAAGAAAACAGTCTATCCTATATCAGTATTATCCTCTTTTTATTGTTTAAATCACAAAACATTTTCATAATAAAATGCTCCGCAGGGCGCAGCTTGATACGACCGCAGAGGTTGAACCCTGAACAGTTAGGGCAAGTATGGACACAACATTCAAGCTTGATACAGCTTTGCATTTGGATTGTGATTAAATATTTGACACAGCATAGGTTTCTGACACAGAATGAATGTGGTCTAAGAACTTAAAAATTTTAAATTTGACATTCACCTATTATGGTCCAATATCCAAAATCTAAATACATGGTTAGATTCAGCATATCAAAGAACCCCAAGAATTCAATTTTTGATGAAATCAAACAAAGTTTAATTTTGGACCCTTTTGACCTCAATGTGGACAAAGTTGATAACGGGGCCCAAAAATCAAATATCTAAATACATGGTTAGATTCAGCATATCAAAGAACCCAATATATTCATTTTTTGTTGAAATCAAACAAAGTTTAATTTTGGACCCCGATTTGGACCAACTTGAAAACTGGGCCCATAATCAAAAATCTAAATACATGTTTAGATTCAGCATATCAAAGAACCCTAAGAATTCAATTTTTGTTAAAATCAAACTAAGTTTAATTTTGGACCCTTTGGACCTTAATGTAGACCAATTTGAAAATGGAACCAAAAATTAAGAATCTAAATACACGGTTAGATTCGGTATATCAAAGAACCCCAATAATTAAATTTTTGATGAAATCAAACAAAGTTTAATTTTGGACCCTTTGGACCTCAATGTGGACCAATTTAAAAACGGGGCCCAAAATCCAAAAACTAAATACACGGTTAGATTCAGCATATTAAAGAACCCCAAGAATTCAAGAATAAAACCCCATTGAAATTGGTCAAGAAATAAGCAATTTATACGAAGTATCTTCTTTTGCACAATACTGTGCAATTAAATATTTCTTGCTATTGCGCAATACTGTACAATTGACAATTTCTTGCTATTGCGCAATATTGTGCTATTGGATATTTCTTGCTATTGCGCAATACTGTGCAATTGAAGATTTCTTGCTATTGCGCAATACTGTGCAATTGAAGATTTCTTGCTATTGTGCAATACTGTGCAATTGAAAATTTCTTGCTATTGCACAATACTTATTATATAATAATTTACACATCCTGTTTGGTGTGCATCTCCTACCATATCATTATTATTTGCTTTTAAATATAAATCAGAAATAACCAACTGAAAATGGAAAATTTTAAAAGAAAAAAAAAAGGAAAAAAAGAAAAAAAAGGAAAAAAAAAAATCCCCCCCCCCAAATTTTTTGAACCCCCTTATGATTCATCACCCCCAAATTCAATCCCAGCCTTCCCTTTGTGGTATGGTACCTTGCAGTACAATTTCAGAGAGATCCATACACTTACACACAAGTTATTGTCCTGAAACTAGAAAAATGCTTGTTTTTTGCCCCTTTTTGGCCCCTAATTCCTAAAATATTGAGGCAATTACCCCCATCATCAATCCGAGCCTTCCCTTTGTGGTATGGTACCTTGCAGTACAATTTCAGCGAGATCCATACACTTACACACAAGTTATTGTCCTGAAACTAGAAAAATGCTTGTTTTTTGCCCCTTTTTGGCCCCTAATTCCTAAAATATTGAGGCAATTACCCCCATCATCAATCCAAGCCTTCCCTTTGTGGTATGGTACCATGCAGTACAATTTCAGAGAGATCCATACACTTGAACACAAGTTATTGTCTGGAAACTAGAAAAATGCTTATTTTTGGCCCCTTTTTTGCCCCCAATTCCTAAACATTTCGGCAATTACCCCCAAACTCAATTCCAGCTTTCCCTTTGTGATATGGAACCTTGTAGTACAATTTCAGAAAGATCCATACACTTACACACAAGTTATTGTCATGAAACTAGAAAAATGCTTGTTTTTTGGCCCTTTTTTGGCCCCTAATTCCTAAAATTTTGAGGCAATTACCCCCAAAATCAATCCCAGCATTCCTTTTGTGATATGGAACCTTGTGGTACAATGTCAGAGAGATCCATACACTAACACACAAGTTATGTCTGGAAGTTACAAAAATGCTTATTTTTGGCCCCTTTTTGGCCCCCAATTCCTTTACTGTTGGTACCATAACCCCCAAAATCAATCCCAACCTTCCTTTTGTGGTATTGAACCTTGTGGTAAAATTTCATAGAGATCCATTCACTTAAACTAAAGTTAGAGTGCGAAAACCAATGTGTCTTCGGACGACGACGACAACGACGCCGACGTCATACCAATATACAACCACAAAAATTTTTTTGCGGTCGTATAAAAATTCATTTTCCATGAAAGCAAACTTTGAGTTATCAGATGGAATGTGTGAAAATATACAAATCACTCTAACAACAGAAAAAAAACATTCAATTTGTTAAAATAGGAAGGAAGCTAATTTATTGTAGTTGCTTCTAGATTTTTGTTGTTGTTTTTTTTCCCATTAAGGTGCAATTACCAACAGCTTTGAATAATGGACAGCATATATAATCTATCACATAACAAATTTTACAAAGTGCAGCAAAATGATGTGTCTTCAATGCACGTTTTTAGTAGTCTAATTTCTCATAAAATCCCAATTGTCTAATTTTGAAAGTTTTTATAAATCTTCTACAAAAGTTGAACTTTCACATTCATACAAAGGTTAAATATTCTAAATATGTAAATCTTGGAATATTATTGTGATGTAGGCTAATATAAGTTGATTTCACAAGCTTTTATCAAAGATGACAAATTGGAATTATATATTGTCTCTGTTTGTCATGTTTAAAGACAGAAATAGAACATATATTTTAAACAACTATGTATAAATCATTTCTGCCATCTGAGTTAATAAATAGTAGGATTTACGGTTGCAACTTAGCTGATTGCTATTCATAAATTGATGATTTTATCAACTCATCTTTTCCCCAGTCAATAAAGTTTTATACTATGGTTTCTCACATCTGCAGATCTGTTACTGTGAAATGCAGAATCAATATAGAAAAAACAAATAAACCAAATCAATGGTACAAGTGCCTAAAAACTGCATGAACAAACGCAGACCACTTCAAACAGGTTTAAGATTAGAATAGATAGCAGTCTGAAGATCACCTTGAATGAGGGAGTTGTTTGACAATGTATTTGTAAACATCCATAATACTTCTTTGTCTGTAGAAACTGTGAAATGAATCAAAGATCATACCTCACCTATATCTATTATCCTATAAATGGAAACTAACACAGATATTTCAAATCTGTTTATAGAAAAGCTTTTCACTTCATGTCATTAGTAGTATGGGCAGTTCATTTTAAAGTCATAGCCATATAAGATTCTACGTACAATGTACTTTGGTATTTCAATTAACAGGGTGCTTTTAATGTTGACAATGGCAAATTAGATAACATACCATTAACTAAACTCCTGCTTTTGTTTTATACCCATCAAAAACACAGGAAACAAATTTGTTAAGAACTTTTCTCCTGCTGTAATATCTAACAATTCACTGATAAGTCCCATATAAAATAAGAAGAGAAAATCCATTAACAAAGGAATTAACAGCCTACCAAGTCACTCGCTAATATGTGATTAATACATGTAGTAACAAACACATGTTTAGGTAACTGTTTATCAAATGCTTATGTTACAAGTTAAGATTAAAGTCAGAAATCTAATTTGCTTATAGTCATTTCAACATTACTTTATTTATTCTAGTGTTTTTCAAATTTCCCAAATTTGCTAAATTTTTTGTTTGATGTATACCTGATGAAAATTATCAAGGAGCATGTCAATGAGCACTGAAATCTTAATAATAAGGCCTACTCATTGTCGAATGTAAGATTTGCATTTTAAGCCTAATTAGTTCAAGAAATTAATTCTGAATATTGCTTTTATATATATATCTAAACAAATGTGTGAATATGTGTTGCCTGCCATCTCCAAATAAAATAAGCAGAAATGGCAAGGACTATGTTATGGTATGGAAAACACATAAAATCATTCAGACCAGAAATTCAAATAGTAGTGCACAATTTCATGTCATGTGCAAGTTTGGTTGAATGCTTTTTCTAAGTTAGTGCAGCACAAACCACAGAAGTGATCACTAGGTGTTGCCCTAGCACTGTCATGTGATGCATGTGATACAAACCACAGAAGTGATCCCTAGATGTTGCCCTAGCACTGTCATGTGATGCATGTGATAATACATATAAATTACCTCATTAGGAACTCCATAATATTCATGTCCATGACTATGAGTTGGTGTCTGTATAAAAAGTTATAAAAGTGCATTTTAACTACAGCTATATCATGCATATAACAATACATGTATCATGGGTTAGCAATACAGTTTTGGAGAATTAGAAAAAGCATTAAATGTTGTCAAAATAGATGCACTATTTTCTTATTTCATAAATTATGTCATGTATGTGGGAACATGCTAACAACCAAATTGTATTCATTTCTTTTTTTTTTTTACAAATTTCTGGTCCATCTTGATAACAACAACACATAAAGTACAATACAGATTCATAAATCTATGTGTAAGGAAAAAATCAAAATATAGTTAGGTATAAAACTTCCTATGAAAGAGCAGCCAAACAATACAGGTTCACAAAATCAGACATTTAAAGGTCACCATAAATGTTCTTCATAATCTTATAGCAATACACTCAAAACTACTTTAAACATCACATCTATTAAATGAAAACCTATTGGATTGTCAGGTAACCCATTTCTTCTGCTGTGGTAATACATTTGCAGTTTGCAGTCTGAACCTCAATTAAAAGGTTATCACTCTATAATAAAGTCATTAATCAGTTCTTAGTTTGACCTTTATATACAGGGTTTATGGTCTTTGACTTGCTTCTGTTTAATTTATTTAGTTTTTATAGACTCAGGAAAATTTAGAGCTTTTAAAACTTATTTTACATATACCTGTCTATTGTTGAAGACTAAATATTGCTCTATTGATGTCTTCTGATTATTTTTGTCATTGGGTTGGTGTGACATTGATGTTTATCCCCAGATCTCCATTTATTCATATTTCCATTGAACCAACGAATATTATTATGAACATTATAGCCACCCATGCCATTACCTAAGCATTTCTGTTGTGTTGTTCTGTTGTGTTGTTTCTTTTATAAAATATATGGCAAAGAACTTACAAGTTCTAAAATTTATATGAAGTAAAATGTTCTAAACTTTGTTTGTCCAGATTCATTTATTTAGTACAAGCACTGACTGCCAATACAGTTATTACATTTAATAGGGGGGGGGGGGGGGGGATTCCAAGGAAGTATCCAAGGTAGTATATAATGTATTATCAAAATATGCAGAATGAAAATAGCAATGCAGTATATCATATTCCAGGGTTTCAATATTTTCCGTAGACTAGTAACTTCCTTTTCCCTGTTTTTCTTTTTTATAAGAATGGTCTTTTTTATATGAATGTAACTCGATCTATAGCATGGTACATTTTCAATTGAAAAATATTTTAAACTTTTTGTGAATTTTTCAATCATTGTAAATTACAAGAGATATTCTTTAAACTGAATGACAATGTGTTCCTGAAAACTTTTTAAAGCTTAAAATGTTTTATTGTATTTTAAGACTATGTGGCAGCTTTTCAAATCCCCTATTAAAAGTATAAGTGGAAGTTGTCCTTCTGGGTAAAACAAAGGTTATATATTAATACTGCATTTCTATCGACACTCATATGAACTTTTGTTAGTCAAAAAGTACATTACACCAATTCCAATTTTCTAAAGCTCTAAACAATATCTTTAAATCATGCAATGATACATTTATATATTTAACAAAATACTTGTGCAATTTATTACCTGTTTAATTTTCAGAGCTATTTTCAAAAATCTTTCAATGAGGAAAAACAAATAAACTCCAGCAATTACAGTAGCAGATTTTATTATATAGTTGTCTCTGATCTCATGGTCCTCTGTATACATAAGTCCTAATGCCTACAATGTGAAGTAACAATATGTTAGGAAACCAGTAATAATAATTATTCTTTACAAGGAGTTCCTGGTATTATAGAACTACATTTCAGTCTGTACTAAAACTGTGATCTAGCACAGGAATATACTATTCAATCTTCTTAATAAAATTTGGTAAAAATTGTCATTAAAGGGCAATAACTTCAATAAGGAGTTGACTGACAATTTCTGCTATGTTTAATTTTGTATATCTTATCTTGCAGATAATTTGTGCTATTCAAAGTTTCTGTCCATCTATTATAGTTTTCAAGATAATCGGTCAAGGGTGTAACTTGAATAAGTTATTAGAGAAAAATAACATACATGTATTATTACAAATACTTTCTCTTAATCTGTAGTAATATATGTTTGTTATCAGTTAAATGTACCATAAAAGTTTTTATTTTCTGTGGGCACTTGGGAATTCTTGAAACTTGCGCAGTAACTTAATACATAACCTTGAAAACTAATTTTCCAATTCAATTAATACATTTTTGATCAACCATGGTAAATCAATGAGACAAGGCTTTCAAGTGATAACTTAGCTGTAATAACAAGGCTTAGTTATTACAGGCATTTAACTTATTACATGAGACACTTGGGAATGACTAGGAAGCTTGCGCAGAACCTCATTACATGCTCTTATCATTATTTATTACAATAAATTAAAATACATTGTGATATATGTAGGAGAAAAGGCTTTGAAGAGATGTAAGAGAAGCTGTAATAACACCCTTTAGTTATTACAGGCATATTTTTTCTGTAATAACATGGGTGTGTTATGCATGATTGGCAAACTATGGGCTGTTATATCTTTCTAAAGTTTAATATACATAAAGACAATTATAATATCAGTAGAGCTAGTACACGATTTAACAAAATAAAGGATGTATAATGCCCCTTTGAAACATGTAACATACATTTGCTATCACAGATGTTTAATTTTTTAGCCCTCAATAACAAATGTATGTTATTTTTTTCTAATAACTTATTTAAGTTAGACCCTTGACTGATAATATGCAAAAATGAAAAAAATGTGTAAAATTCATCATTTTTTAAAATCCTTTCACTGGTTTAGAAAGAGTAACCCCAATAATGAATACAGATTTCAGCTTGTGTAACAGACAAATTAATGGAGCAGTAAACAGATGGACACAATAATCACAATATATCCCTTTGCTTCACTAAGCTGGGTTTAATAAAAAAAAATGAAAAAAGTTCATTCTGTACCCTGATGACACAACACTGACATGTCTATATATTTTAAAGGAACACATGTCAACCATATTTCTGTTATATGTTTACATCTGTTTGCATTATAACACCTGTGGCCTATAATAACCTTTAATTGCCCTTAGGCCAAGGGTAATACTGATAGGCCAAGGGTAATAATGATAGACCAAGGGTAATAATGAATTATAATTTGTTGATGCATATCATCCTTGTGGTTTGTTATGATTTGTAAAACATTTATCTATTTCATCATTTAAAAGGAAGAAAGGTTTTACTTTTGATTGCACATACATGACATACAAGGGGAAAAAATGTGATCGGTAGCTCATGAGATAACCCCCTATACTGCGGGGTTCATGTTGCTCAGTCTTTAATTTTCTATGTGATGTTTTGTAGACAGTTGTTTTTCTTTTCTTGTTTTTCATTTTAGCTTTGCATCACGGTGTGAAGCTATATTTTAGTTTCATATGATATTCACGCCATCTTGTCATGCTTGTAACTATCATGTAACAAATATTAGTTCTCATTGGTTGCCTTATGACGTAGGAAAGATTATATTGCTAGAATGAGATATAAAATTGGAAACATGTCCCAGACAGGAGAAAATCTTTAAAGTGTTTAATACAAAAAAAATAAAGTATGGGTATTCAAGATGTAATCTGATATCAGATCAATGAATTATTTTGCTTTTACAGGTATACCTTGCTACATAAAGTCGTGCCAACTTCATATTGATAAATAAATTGTCTGATTTTCTTTGACTTATGATTTTTGATTGTCCCCTTGGTCTCTTCTTTTTTTTTTACTGTTATTTCAAAATCTAACAACGTTTAATTTAAGCAAATGTTAAGCATTTGTTTTGCATTTGTCTTGTTTTTCTGTGTTACTAAAAACATCAGTTTCAATTTCTAACATTTCTTATATAACAGATCACCAGTAATTTAAACATTTGTTTTGCATATGTCTAGTATTACTAAAAACATTACTTTTAATTTCTCAAATTACAGATTTCTCGATTCTTTCACAGATTACATAACCAACAACCACCCTGAGTGTATAGTCAGTACTTACCTCAGGTATCAGGACCAAAAGTGCATTGGCAGCCAAACTCCCTACAGCTAGGCCAACCATAAAAATAAGGACTTTCTGGTAAAATGTCTTCTTCATACATGGTAAAACAACAGCTCCAGAGAGCGAGCATATATTTATAATTGTCACAAACAGGAACCCAAATCCCCAAACTGAAAAATAAAAATACAGTTTTTATTTCATTATGGTGTGTTTTTTTTTTTTTATGAATTAACAATCACCAGATGTTACCCAGACATGCCAGATAGCAGTCCCATCTGTTGGCATGTGTATCAGACATACCTGCCAACCTCTGAAACCTTCAAAGAGGGAGATCTCCCTCTCAGCTATGACAGCTGAGTGGGAGATTTTGCGCGAACAACATTTTAAAGTTAAATATATGACCTGTTTACGTATTCATCTACAAAACACCAAAGAGAGTTAATAAATATACTTTATTTCTTCAATTCATGGTCATGATGGTTATAATCTATGATCTATACACTGTGGGTTTTTTTTTTTTTATAGCCTTTTTCAATACCTCCGAGTCTAATAACTCATAACATTCCATATTTTGATTTTGTTGTGAGTCTCACACTAAGCATGCTTTTAAACATCGTACAGACCACCAGAAGAAATCGATAAGTTCATTGAACATGATGTGCAAAAAGATTCATTGCCAAGTGAACTTGGTCGTAAAAATTGAAAATCTTTCATTCAAATCATTTGCAGTTATCAATTTCTTCTTTTTAACACTGTCGCTTGGTCCAGACAAAGACCTCTATCTTGTAGGAGTTGACATAGCAGAACTGAATTTCTACTACTTATATATCATTGTATATCGAACATAAAAACTTCTGACCAAAGTTTTCAAATGATTGTCGATTGTTTTTTTATTTCTATTGAAAGTAATGAAAAAGCCAGAGATTCTATACTCCCGCGCGGGAGCGGACCAGCAAGCGGGAGATTTCCGGAATTCCATCGTTAGCACGGGAGACTCCCGCTCCAAACGGGAGGGTTGGCAGGTATGGACTATCAGAACACATGTCATCTACCATGTCTACCTGAATTGGTCTCTGGTTGATAGTTGTCTCATTGCCAACCAACAATACCACATCTTCTTATCTTTAAATGTATTCCTATACTGGTTAAAGTAGGATTGCTTCCTTCTACTTATTTTTATATTATACTTATTCTTTAACTGAACAAGTTCATTTCTAATTTTGTCTGATTTATACATTAAAATTACATGAAGTTATCTAGCATGTCTAGTAGAAACCTGTATTCAAATATTGTCATGAGGACCATGTTAATCTTACTACCGGTAATGGAAATTAGGGGAATTACACAATTGCAAAAAAGACTAATTCTATTTTGCAATAAACTGTTTCCAATAGCAACAAAAATTTAATGTCTAGGAGATTTATTATTTTAATTGATTAAATCTAAAATCAGCAAAGCTGTATTAGAAATAACTCAATTAAAAATTTAGCTACTTGGACAATGGATGAGAAATATGTGTTAACCATGTTAACCTTCGTGTCCATTTTTGTCTTTTTTTGTTATTATATTACCTCATCCACTTTTGTTTACCACGATATTCCTTTCTAATCACAGCTACAGACATATCTCAATATCATTCCAATGATTGGTGGTACTAGGAAGTGATAACCCTATGACTTATGAACCTGTCATATTGTACTACACAGAGACATTTCTCAATGAATTCTGCTGATCTTTGGTCATTAATTAACTCTTAGTACAAAAGGTACATGTATCTCCAAACAATCCTATCATTCAATGTATTTGCCTGTACTACCTTAGGAGCCTGTAGTTCAGTGGTGTACAGTGGTATCATTAATTACTGTTTGTCATTCATTGTTTTTTGTCATAAATCATGCTGTTGTATTCCTGTTTCAATTGCTTCCCTTTTTGTGATGTCATGGCCTTTTGTAGCGGACTATAAATTATGGGTTTTGTTCATTGTTGAAGGCTGTATAGTGATATATAGGTGTGTTCATAAATTTCATTTATTATCTCTATTTTGTGTATTTTTCCTTTGATCTATTTTTGTGATAATAAAATTTTCATATCATATGCATGCTACTCGCTTGAGATAGAAAATTATCACCAGAAATTAAGGTCACACGTGCTGTAGTCAATGTTAACCTCAATGATGTCACAGGCAAAATAGCAATAAACAGATTATCAATGGTCTTTCAAACTCCAGGATGTTTCTCTGACATATCTCATCTAAGGGCTGTCACCCTTTGATGAGACATCTTCGCTAGCCAAGGGTTATGATCCAGTTCCCTACTCTCCATCCTTGGCACATTAAGATAGAATTCCAGATCCAGGATGTAATGAAATGCTTCGCTGAGCGCAGCCTGATACGACCGCAGAGGTCGAACCCTGAACAGTTGGGTTAAATTTGGACACAATATTCAAGCTTGATACTGTCTGAATTTGGATTGTGATTAAATTTTTGGCATAATATAGGTTTCTGACACACACAAAAATGTGGTCAAAGATCCTACAAATCTATTGTGAAATACTATGCAATTGCAGATTTCTTCTTGAAACTTTTCAAAAATTTGAAATTTGTGAAAAATTTTGAAAAAAAAATATGAACCCTTTAAAAAAATTGGAAAAAAATCCCCTCCCAAACTTTTTAAATTCCCCCTTGGAGCAATTACCCCCAACTCAATCCCAGCCTTTCCTTTGAAGTATGGAACCTTGTAGTACAATTTCACAGAGATCCATACACTTAAACACAAGTTATTGTCTGGAAACTAGAAAAATGCTTGTTTTTGGCCCTTTTTTGGCCCCTAATTCCTGCATGTTTTGGGCAATTACCCCCAAACTCATTCCCAGCCTTCCCTTTGTGATATGAAACCTTGTGGTACAATGTCAGAGAGATCCATAAACTTACACACTTTTTGGCCCTTGATTCCTAAACTGTTGGCACCATAACTTCCAAAATGAATCCCAATATTCTACTTGTGGTATTAAACATTGTGGTACAATTTCAGAGCAATCAAGAGACTTATATACAAAGTTATTATCCTGAAACTAGAAAAATGCTTGTTTTGGGCCCCTTTTGGGCCCCTTATTCCTAAACGGTTGGGACCATCATCCCCAAAATCAATCCCAACCTTCCTTTTGTGGTATTGAACCTTCTTGAAAAATTTCATAGAGATCCATTCACTTAAACTAAAGTAATTGTCCGGAAACCAAATGTGTCTTCGGACCATGATGCAGACGACGACGACATCATATCATTATACGATCCCAAAAAAATTTTTTGCGGTCGTATAATGAATTCCATTGGTCGCAGTTGTAACTGGCTGCATCCGATCAAAAAGCACTTTTAAGATGATCATGTGTAAATGTAGACAATGTAAATAAACAATTGCCACATGCTGATTTCGCAACAAGTCTTTACCCCCAAAACATAGGACAATATTTAGTGACAATTTTAAAATTCTTAATCAACTAATTGAAGTTCCTGGGCAAGTTTCTTGCTCAAATGTTGGAATGTCAACATATATTTTCCGTTCCTGCTTCTTGAAATTTGTACACACTAGACACAACCATTTTTACACCTCCACACTGAAGAGAGTTCAAGTGCTGCCATTGGTCAAAAATGATGAAGTCAAAATGGGCGTGCCTTTTTACTACCAGTTGAAGGCACAGCATTGTAATCACAAATGTTGGCTTTATCTGCCAAGGGTAGAGAGAAGGGGACTGGATTGTAACCCTTGGCTAGCGAAGATGTTGATGAGATTGTAGCTGAGAAACACCCTCTTATTTGAAAAACCATTGATAATCTATAAGACTCTGGTTGATAGTTGTCTCATTGGCAATCATCCCACATCTCATTATTTTCACAATGTAGAACTTTGTATGACATGGTCATAAATCAAGAGTGTTTAATATCACCTTGAATCAAACAGTACCACAGTGTTTCACTCAACACTTACTAGTAAGACAGTCATGCACCTAGTGTCACACACAGTGTGTGAAACATACATTGATATTTTGGAGTAAATTACTCATGATATCCAGAATTCTCTTATCCCCATCAAGAGTGATTTTTGTCTAAACAATATGTTTAATTTACCTTTTGCTAAATGTACAAATACACATATATCATGCTTATAAAACCAATGACGACATATTTTCAAAATATTTTCAATTCTTCACTTGCTCACCTTGTCCTGATGGGGCCTCAACTTTATGACCCCCTTCTTCTTTCTTATGCACCACCCCCTGACATGACGTTTTCTGAAACAACAGAGCAGGAGCAATGTCGTTGACATCTTCTAATGTTAATGGTCTGTTTAATGGAATGGAGTGAAGTTTCAATACATCTTCTATGGAAACACACTGTAAAATATTAAATCAAATGTGTACATGTATATACATGTATATGCTGTACATTTTAGTGATACATGTATTTACATTTACATATATGTAAAAAGAAATTTTATATGAAACCAAAAGCAAGCGCGGATCCTGCCATTTAAAAAATTGGGTTCCAACCCCCGGGACACAATGAAACATTCACATAATTAAATTTTTTTTTAAATTAAAAATCAATAAAAGGGGTGTTCCAACCCCACGAACACCCACTGGATCCGCCATTGAAAAGGATATATATGTTTTATCAGTATAGTATAAAAACAATTAAACAAGAGTGCACACGCTGAAATGTCTCGCCTGTTTTACTGACTATTGATTTTATGTTGAAAGTCTTAAAAATAAATATAAAGGTTTTACTACAACTATCACATAAACTTAACATTTTTAAAGATCCATGACAATGAGGTCAAGGTCAGATAAAAACTGTCACACAGACATGTACACCTTACAATTATTCCATACACCAAATATAGCTGACCCATTGCTTATGGTAATTGAAAAACAGACCAAAAACACAAAAACTTAATGTTAACCAATGAACCATAGAAATGAGGTCAAGGTCAGATGATACTGGCTAGACAGACATGTACACCTTACAATCATTCCATACACTAATAATAGTTGATTTATTGATATTAGTATTTGAAAAACAGACCAAAACACAAAAACTTAACATTGACCAATGAACCATGAAAATGAGGTCAAGGTCAGATGACACCAGCTAGACAGACATGTACACCTTACATGTACATCATTCCATTAACCAAATATAGTTGACCTATTGCTAATTATAGTACCGGTACTTGAAAAACAGACCAAAACACAAAAACTAAACATTGACCAATGAACCATTAAAATGAGGTCAAGGTCAGATGACACCAGCTAGACAGACATGTACACCTTACAATCATTCCATACACAAATATAGTTAACCGATTGCTTGCAGTACTTGAAAAACAGACCAAAACACAAAAGATTAACAATGACCAATGAACCATGAAAATGAGGTCAAGGTCAGATGAAACCTGCCAGTCTGACATGAAACCCTTACAATCATTCCATACACCACATATAGTTGACCTGCTGCTTGTAGTATCTGAGAAACGGACTAATCACCTAACTTTAACCTTGATCACTGATCCATGAATTGAGGTCGAGGTCAGGTTAACCCTGTCTGATGGACATGTAGACGTTGCAAGGAACCCATATACCAAATATAGTTATCATATTACTCATAATAAGTGAGAAATTCACATGACTAAAAAACTGGTTTTTTTTTCAAGCAGTCACTGAACCATGAAAATGAGGTCAAGGACAATGGGCATATGACAGACTGAAACTTCGTAACATAAGGTATCTGCATACAAGGTATGAAGCATCCAGGTCTTCTACCTTCTGAAATATAAAGCTTTATACAAATAGTTTACGCCACCGTCAGATAGTAATACGTATGTCTCGCATACTGCGACTTTCGTCGCAGGCAAGATAAAAAGGTTTTAATTTCCGGAAAGAAATGTCTTAATTCTAAAGGAAAGTTCTTGGAATCAGATGGAATGGGCATAAAAACAGTAAAGTAAGTCTTAATTGTAAGCAATGATAAATTACTATAAAATCATGAAAATCACAGCGTTTAAGTTTGAATCTATAAAAAAAATTATTAATATAGATATAAGGAGATGTGGTATGATTGCCAAAAAGACAATTCCAAATATCCACCAGAGTCAATGTACATAAAATGTACATGTGCCTACATTTTGTACATCATGATACATGTTGAAAATTAAAATTGCTATGTAAACTGTAAATACTCTGTCCATACTATGATATCATGAACATGATGAATATATGGAAAAGAATATATTATAATTTCAAAAAGAAGTAACCCATTGTTGTTTCCCTGCATTGATCTGCATTCCTGGCATTTGTACAATATATATGTACCTTAAGGATTACATAACACACAGTGAACTGTCATAATTCATTATTCTCAGTTTTATCAGTTTATGATGCAGTGTAATTAGATTTTATTAACATACATGACACCTAATCAAATGTTCTGCCTGCATTGTTTAGTTGAAGCATAATTGAAGTACATGCAGTATTACCATAGATTGTTTAGACAATATTTACTAAAAATACATCCTTAATACTGACAATGACTGACTTACTATATAAAACAAGAACACGAAGAAGCATTAAATAAAATACAGTGCCTGTCAAATTTAATGAAATACACAATGAAATTGATAGGTTCTATTGCATGCATTGGCTGTTTAGTTTAAATGTCATTTCTTACTGTAATTTAGAAATCAGTTGCCCATGCCACATGGTTTTTTTAGATGGAAGAAATTCTCAAGGGAAGTAATTATAACTAAAGCCTAAGCTCAAAAACATAACCTTTAATTATCATTGTTTACTAAATTGCTTGACTGAAACGCTAATAAGTTCAAAGCGCTTCATTGGTATAAAGTAGAATTTTTATTTTTTATAAACCTAGTGTTATATAAATGCTTGTCATAAAAATTGATAGTTTACAATCAATTATCATGACAATTAAAAACAAAAAGTATCTGACATCTATTTATATAATTACAAATGTATTTGTCCTGAATAAGTTTGAAATATTTGCCACTGAACATCCCTTGTCTAACCTAACGACATTACCTTTCTAAATTATCCATACATATACGTTTTAAGTAAAATCTCTAACCCTACTATATGATTGAATATGAAGTCTGAAATTTAAAACACAGATTTTTCAGGACAAAGGATAAGATAAGATTGCAATTGGTACACATACATGTAGATACAATACAAGACATTGAAAATAAAATGTCACAAATACAACACAAATAAAATGCTCCGCAGGGCGCAGCTTGATACGACCGCAGGGGTCGAACCCTGAACAGTTGGGGCAAGTATGGACACAACATTCAAGCTTGATACAGCTCTGAATTTGGATTGTGATTAAATATTTGACACAGCATAGGTTTCTGACACAGAATGAATGTGGTCTAAGAACTTAAAAATTTTAAATTGGACATTCACCTATTATGGTCCAATATCCAAAATCTAAATACATGGTTAGATTCAGCATATCAAAGAACCCCAAGAATTCAATTTTTGATGAAATCAAACAAAGTTTAATTTTGGACCCTTTTGACCTCAATGTGAACAAAGTTGATAACGGGGCCCAAAAATCAAAAATCTAAATACATGGTTAGATTCAGCATATCAAAGAACCCCATATATTCAATTTTTGTTGAAATCAAACAAAGTTTAATTTTGGACCCCGATTTGGACCAACTTGAAAACTGGGCCCATAATCAAAAATCTAAATACATGTTTAGATTCAGCATATCAAAGAACCCTAAGAATTCAATTTTTGTTAAAATCAAACTAAGTTTAATTTTGGACCCTTTGGACCTTAATGTAGACCAATTTGAAAACGGAACCATAAATTAAGAATCTAAATACACGGTTAGATTCAGCATATCAAAAAACCCCAATAATTCAATTTTTGATGAAATCAAACAAAGTTTAATTTTGGACCCTTTGGACCTCAATGTGGACCAATTTAAAAAGGGGCCAAAAAACCCCATTGAAATTGGTCAAGAAATAAGCAATTTATACGAAGTATCTTTTTTTGCACAATACTGTGCAATTGAATATTTCTTGCTATTGCGCAATACTGTACAATTGACAATTTCTTGCTATTGCGCAATATTGTGCTATTGGATATTTCTTGCTATTGCACAATACTGTGCAATTGAAGATTTCTTGCTATTGCGCAATACTGTGCAATTGAAGATTTCTTGCTATTGTGCAATACTGTGCAGGTGAAAATTTCTTGCTATTGCACAATACTTAAATTTACACATCCTGTTTGGTGTGTATCTCCTACCATATCATTATTATTTGCTTTAAAATATAAATCAGAAATAACCAACTTAAAATGGAAAATTTTAAAAGAAAAAAAAAGGAAAAAAAAAAAAATCCCCCCCCCCCAAATTTTTTAAACCCCCTTATGATTCATCACCCCCAAACTCAATCCCAGCCTTCCCTTTGTGGTATGGTACCTTGCAGTACAATTTCAGAGAGATCCATACGCTTGAACACTAAGTTATTGTCTGGAAACTAGAAAAATGTGTTTTTTGGCCCCAAATTCCTAAACTTTTAGGGCAATTACCCCCAAACTCAAACCCAGCTATCCCTTTGTGATATGGAACCTTGTAGTACAATTTCAGAAAGATCCATACACTTACACACAAGTTATTGTCATGAAACTAGAAAAATGCTTGTTTTTTTCCCCTTTTTTTGGCCCCCAATTCCTAATATTTTGAGGCAATTACCCCCAAAATCAATCCCAGCATTCCCTGTGTGATATGGAACCTTGTGGTATAATGTCAGAGAGATCCATACACTAACACACAAGTTATTGTCTGGAAACTAGAAAAATGCTTATTTTTGGCCCCTTTTTGGCCCCTTATTCCTAAACGTTTTGGGCAATTACCCCCAAACTCAATTCCAGCTTTCCCTTTGTGATATGGAACCTTGTAGTACTATTTCAGAAAGATCCATACACTTACACACAAGTTATTGTCATGAAACTAGAAAAATGCTTGTTTTTGCCCCTTTTTTGGCCCCTAATTCCTGCATGTTTTGGGCAATTACCCCCAAAATCAATCCCAGCATTCCCTGTGTGATATGGAACCTTGTGGTACAATGTCAGAGAGATCCATACACTAACACACAAGTTATGTCTGGAAGTTACAAAAATGCTTATTTTTGGCCCCTTTTTGGCCCCTAATTCCTTAACTGTTGGTACCATAACCCCCAAAATCAATCCCAACCTTCCTTTTGTAGTATTGAACCTTATGGTAAAATTTCATAGAGATCCATTCACTTAAACTAAAGTTAGAGTGCGAAAACCAATGTGTCTTCGGACGACGCCAGACGACGACGACGCCAACGAAGACGACGACGCCAACATCATACCAATATACGACCGCAAAAATTTTATAAAATTGTATAAAAACCTTGAAACGCAAAAACAAAAACAACATGAACCCTTTTAAACAAAGGTCTGATCAACAGACAGATCTATAAACTTGCTTTAAACATATATATGTACCTTGGCCTCTCTCTCTATATATATATATATATAGAGAGAGAGAGCAAAAAGGGGGGTATAAATATGATACAATGGTCTCCTTTTGGTACATTAAAATATTCTTTTTCAGGAAATACATAATGTGTAACCAAACACTGACAAAAATAGTTTCCTTATGTGTAATAAATACTATTCAAATACAATGTAAGCCAAAAACATACTGATAAAATCTTGTTCAACACAGATTTTTCATATCCATTGAGCTTTATCAGTAAGGGAAAATATATCAATAATATCCTGTTGTAGTTTCAGTAACTATCCAGGGAGAACCATTAAATTCAATATACACTTTACAAAAATATGTTTACTATGTTTTACAAATTTATATGTGTATTTACATGTAACTCTAAATGATTTAAGATGATTTTTTTACTCTTTTATATCTTATAATTGAAATAACTTGCTCCTCCTCAGTAAGACCCAATACATGAACACACATAATTTCTTATTGGTGTATGTGATAAGTGAGTCAGGGTTAAAAGTCCTGAATCTATTGACTACTTATAGTATTAAATTCACTGTCCTATGGTCAATAAAATTATACATTTGAATATACTGTAAAGGAAAAGGGGGTAGTGTATTATTTATTGCTACAAAATCCCCACAAACAATTGACAAAAGCAAAGGCACAGAGCTTTTAATGCTGTTCTACATCTTAAAGACATAGTAAGGCTTTCTTAACAAAAGTTCACAACAGGATCGATTCAATCAAAGAAAGCCCCTAGAATAAGTTTGAGCAGAACTCTTTGCTAGGTGTCAAATATTTTCAATAGCACAGATTAGAGGAAATCATAAGAAATGTTATATAACATACAAAAATGTCAAATGTAAGTTATAACAAGCACAGAAATCTAACAAAATATTGTCATAATTTTCCCGTTACATGTACATGTAGCTTGTTGGGCAAATTATGACACCAGCGCCACGACAATTGCAAAATAACAGAAACAAAACAGACATTAAATCAACAAGGGGACACTGTGATTAAGATTGTTACAGATTTGCCCGAAATAAGAGAATGAGGGACGGTGGAAAATTATGTACATGTAGATTGTACTGTCCAGACCTGATTTTTTGTAAGGTTTCTTTAACAAATTTATGTCTATACAGAAAAATTATAAAATGGCTCTCCTGAGTCCTGACTATTTTTTTTAAACCATGTTGCAGCTTCATTGTAATTAAAGATGATCAATAACTCCAATTCAATCAATTTGTGAAAATGTGTTCACTAAAGAAATGAAATGTAAACAGTGGAAAGTAAAATTCAAATATAGACAGATAAACAAACAAAAATATGAAAACAGTCACTGCAACCTTGTAACTTGTTTCCTGTTTATTCCTTTGGTATATATTTTGATGTGAAAGTACACAAATACCATGAATACTAGGGTTAATAATGTACTAAATGTATGCCTCCATACATGTACCTTGTATTTAAAGTTTCATATGCATATGCATGTATATATATATTATTTTATATATATTTAATTAATTTATATATATCAAGCTTAATTTTCAGTTAAATTAATGAGAAGAAGCTAATCTCAATGACAGGACTAAGGTACAGCATGTACATTGTACATACATTGTATCATGCAGTTCTCCCCATAGAAATTGAAAGGGATAGGGTGCCAGTTGATAGGCCACTTTAGAGTTTTTTGTCTATGTTTTAGTTTGCTCTATCTTCCTTTTTTTGGTTTTTAATAGTGGAACAAACACATTTATCTATTAGTAACAGATCCTATTAAAATCAAAATATTTGTTATGAAACTTTTGACAATGTCTAACCAATTTTCTGTAGTTTGACATTTTTCTTTTAAGTATATACATTGATATATATAATTGTCAGATCTGGAAAAATTTACATATCCAAGAACCCCAAGTATATGATTAATTAACATAAATTTAAAATGTGAAGATGATACTAGTACATTCACATTCAATTCTTGTAGTATTTACAGTAAAAATGGTACCCTTTATGTTATTTATATATATCATGTATATATATCTTCACATAATTATAAAATTTCACCATTTTTTAAACATTGTGAATTCTTTAAATCTTACAAAATAATATAGCTTGTGATTGTCAATGATCGTTATGCACTAGTAGGCCTGGGATGATTATATATATGTTAAAGGGAACAATGTTCTTGGTCAGTTGATAATCATATTATCTACAGGGAAACAGTACTTAGTAGTTCAAGGTTAGGTTATTTCATACAATGATCAAGATGCAGATGGTTAGGTGTATACTTATTCGCTGACTACATGTACATGTACTTGTAACAAACTATTGCCATTGTGATAAACTACAAAATGTACCCTTGTTTTACTTTGACTGTCAGATATCCATGCAACTACATGTACATTGTATATGCATGACAAAGTTCTTAATAGATTAATTAGCCAATTAAAAAACACAACTGAAACAGTTGAATCCTTTTACCAATAATTAGTAAACTACATGTACATGTACATGTATTGGCAATGTTTGTCATCAATGAATTCATGGTCAGTCATTAGTGCCTGAATTATACAGTCTGCAACAAAATCTTTTCCAACTACTAGTCCGAAGACAATTATTCAGACATTTTCCTTATGTGTCTAAACACAGTTTTGCAAAATTTACTAGTCAGAATAAAATTTTACTAGTCTGGGGCATCGGACTAATGCCTAACGGTGCAGGCTGTGAATATGTCTTATTTACAGTTAAGTTAACATGGTTAAGAAGAATATGATGGTGTCTCTTTAAAAGTGAGCTTTTTTTTTGTAATTTCTTCAAAATTGCCCACTTGCAAAATTTGTTTTCCTTGTCTCATATTTTAAGCTGCAACACTTTCAGTAGACATTGATACAAATGTCGGAGTGTCCTCGTTAGTACGCATGTGGATTTTGATAAGCAATGAAGTTGAAGATGTTTAAGTACATGTACGAGTAAAAAGTTGGATGTACATTTATTTATGTACATCAAAACTACTCCAACAGTTCAGGGCCTAAGATTTAAGTACATGTATTTAAAGAGGGTGGTAAAGGGTCATTTTTTGTGCAAAGTTTTTGCATATATTTATTTCACGTTCAATTTTCATGCTTGAAGCTCATTATTCACCATTTATGGTCATTTTAAACAAAGGAATAAAGTTAACATAATTTCCCTCATAAACCAATGTTTTCTAGAATTGATAGTTAAATAATAAGTCTGTCAAAAGAACCATGAAAATTTCAAATGACCAGTATTTGACACATGAGGAGTATTGACTGGGGCGGTATTTATTGATTTTACTTCAATTGTCCTTGCATATCAACCCCTTTTCCACCCTCTTAAACATCACTTTCAATGAATATATGTACAATGTATACCCAGATTGCAAAATCCAATGCAAGACGTTTGGACCATACATGTACTGCCAGTTCCACCACAGTTGTTTCGGCCATACTTACATGTACATGTACAAAGTAATTTAGTCCATGGTTTTTCTTGTTACAATGTACATGTGTTATAAAGGGAAGAAAATATAATTGTTTTTAAAAAGAAACGCTAAGAAACAAATGGCAAAATATTATTAATCATACATTTATATTATTGATAAAAATGTTTATCAGTTAATGAATGCTGTAAGAATATTTGTAAAATGGTGATTATAAATAAAAAAAAATGAAGACTTTTTAATAAGGAACATGAGGAACAAGAAAAGATAGTTATTTAAAAAGTAAAAAAGACAGTTGTGCTTATCAGTCAGAGCTCAGACATCCGTACATGTACATGTACATTTGTACATGTAAAGAAAATAAGTCTGTTTTTTGTTTCTGACTTATCATGCTTATCAAGAAAAATCAAGTATTTGTGTTTAAAATTTTGGAGAAAAAAAACTCACATAATGTGTTTTCATGGTGTTTTATGAAGCATAAATTGACTTTAACAAGTCTGTCATTTTCTGACTTACATGTAGACATTTAATGACAAAATGACTTTTTGTTAATCATCTTTTTTCGAAACAAACTTCCGTTAAAAAAAAACAGTCAATGCATAAATGTGTATGTAATCATGGTAATCGACTATGGCAAAACTGGTACTGTGGCCGAAATTATTTGCGGTTGAACTGGTTGTATGGCCAAAATGTCTTGAAAGTGCAAAATCACTATTACAAAATCTTCACTGCTTTACCTACATGTACAATTCTTTTTTGTTTCAGAAATGGTGTAAAATCGTTTTCAAACAGCTAATATAAATTTTCAACTTACATGTTTTAAAACACAGTCTTTTCTCTCGTCATTGTTCGTCAAACTTGAACATGATGTAAAATTGTTGGTGTTACTAGTGGTTGATTGTAAACTTGTGTTGTGGTTAAAAAAGGTTTGTAATTTATTTAAAGTGACCGTTTCCTTCCCACTTATATTGTACATAAAGTCTTCCAAAAATATCCGTGATGAGTTTGAAATACATTGTCCATTTAAACTTATAATTTTGAATAATATCAACGTAAATAGTAAATAACACAAGGTGAGAGAGTTCGTCATCACGTAATATTAATTTCCGATTATCCAATTAGATGTAAATAAGAAACTTCGTCTACAATGTCTTCAATCAGATTAATGTTATCTGACTAGAATTTAACCTTCTTTCCGTTGTTTTATATTAGTGTTAAGCTTCTTCGTTTTATTTTTTCAGAAGCGTGTCCTTCTCGCAATCAACGTCAACAACAAACTTGAAACCAAGCACTGAGTTCGAGAAAGTAAGCGCATGCCTAACCTAGAATTGAATTATATATGAAAATGTTTCTGCAAGAAAATTCCGGAATGAGGCTCCGTAGGGGTACTAATTTTCAGCCAAAAGTACCTGACTGAAATGTTATTCATGTTTATTTTCATTTATTTTAATTTCATATATTAATTATGAGAGCAACCATATTTTTTTTTCGGAAAAAGAGGGTGAGGAAAAGACGGGAGAGATTTATAAAGGCTCCGTAAAGTTTAAACCATAATTTATTATGATAGACATTTAATAATTAGCAGTTTTTAAAAGCAATATTAATGACATGGGTAAGAGCAGTTTCTGATCCTTTTGTTACAATAATGAAAGCATGGCCAAAGGAACTTGCACATTACCTTTATTTTACAAGTAATTCTCTTTACCATGTACAGACCAGTAATTGTACAACTAATTCTCTCAGTTTACCATGTACAGGTCTACACGTAATTGTACAACTAATTCTCTTTACCATGTACAGACCAGTAATAGGCGGCGGTATTTTACCTTATTTGACTGGTGTTAAAGTTATGTTTGAAAATGAAAAGGTTTTAGGAATACTACAGAATCCAAATAAAGAAGACATTCGTAGCGGCTTCCTCCTGTCAAACATAAGGGTGGTGATATATTTCTTGTACAGTCAAAACATCCAGATGATTGGAAATTCTACCATTATACCTGGATCAATGAAAGTAAATTTGTTACTTTAAACTAAGATTGCCTGGTTTTGACACAAAAACTGGTCGAAAGCGACCTCGATCTACATCAGATTTTAAACGTATAGCTTATTGGTTAGACAGTAACCCAAATTTGGTTCTCATTCACTATTTAGGAAACGAAGATTTATATCAACCAATGCCACATGGAAATAGTAAACATGATACGGAATTTGTTCGTACTATGCCACCAGTTATTGATACCATTAATTCAGAGAAAAAGGGGATAATCCGCATAAGGTTTATAAAAAAATGATTTGTACAAACGATGTAGAAGGATCGCACCAAGCCGTAGCAAATCCCCGAAATACTAATTAAGCAGGTAAAAAATATTTTAAGTAAAGAGAGACAAGAAAAAGCCTTATCAAAAGATGACATCTACAATTTAGTACTTTTGGCGCATCAGTTAAATGGGTTTGTTTCTGAAGTTTTAATCTATCCAGATCTTTTAGCTGTTGTCGCACTCCCCGAAATCATAAACGCATTTAAAGATATAATTGAGCTAAAATCTGAAGACCCAGTTTACTTAGTTTATGACACAACTTTTAATCTTGGCGATTGTTATGTATCACCGATAGTTTTCAAACATGTCATATTTGATGAAACGCCACTTGTACCTTTAGCATTTTTGATCCATGAACGTAAACACGCTAAATGGCATGAAGTTTTGTTTAAATTTTTGAAAGACAAGAATAGAATAGATAAAAAAAAACAAATTCCTTTTTTCATTGACCAAGAACCCGGTTTAAAAAGGGCTATTCAAGATACTTTAAGATCATAGATGACCTTTCGTAAATTAATTGGATTTTGTAAGAAAATATAATAGAAAGAAGCAAACAATACGTGAGGGAAATGTTCAAGATGATTAAAGCCACTATTGTGTTTACAGGTCAACAGTAAGAAGTCAAGGTCTTGTCAAACGTGCTTAGCAGCCACCCTTATTTAATACAAAAGAACCTAGTAACCATATATGTTTTGATTCAGGACTGTATGGATTATTACATAGGCCATGCAGGGCCAGGGGTGAATGTTATCACACTAGTCCTCAGTAACCATTCATTTATAGTGCAAAAGTGCCTAGCAACCATTTATTTATATTGGAAAGTTGCCATCCAACCATTTATTCATATTAGAAAAGTGCCAAGCAACAATATATTTTCGATTTCATTGAGACAAAAATCAGAAAACAATTGATATCAAACATGCAGTTTTCTTTACATTAGTAATCCCTTATAAGAACACACATTGTATGTACCGAATTGTTGAATAACACTGACTTGATTGTACACATGCATAATCCAGAATAGTTAATTATATGGAGAGTTTAATTTCAAGGTTTAAAAAATAAGGGTTTGATTACAAATACAAATACAAAAATGGTATGATTGCCAATGAGACAACTCACCACTAGAGACCAAAGGTTCTCTGAATCTACAAAAACAAGGCAAAACGAACAAAATTGCTTAGAGAACGACCAATTTATTTCTTTGGTTAGAGTTGGGCTTTTGAGTAAGAGGTTTTGTGTAGACAGAATGATTAACCTTTTCACCCGTTATAAGGCTGGACTATACATAGTTCATTTTTTTCGTCGAAAAAATATTTTTCGTTCTGTACACACCTATTTCTTTTTTCAAATCGTATGTGCACCTAAATGTACAGAAAATTCATTTTCAGCATATCTTGGGCAATGATATTCAGTTCTAGATACCATCACATTCATTGCATTCAGCATCCCCATCACAAAATCTTCCCTAGCTAATAGAACTTCTCTGAATCCGCTCAATTGTTACTTTTGTTTTCTGTGGATAATATAAAAAAAAACTTCTTCTTAAAACCAAATTCATTGTGTGTTCTGCAAAATTTACTTTTTTCATGTATATTCAACCTTGGTGTTCACATTTTCTCCCTATATATCTATTATAGTTTTTAAGCTAATTGAAAAATCTCAAAATTTAGCTCAAATAATTCGTTTCGGGCAATAACTGATAAATAAAGTTGATTCACAATTTCAGCAATGTTAACCCATTGGTAAATCTTATCTTTCAGATCATTTAAGCTGTATATTGCCTCTCTTTACCTATTAAAATTTTCACAGAACGACAAAATAAATAATGACAATTTCAGTAATGTCAACGTATTTTAACTCTTTTCTCGTTGATCTGTTTTTCTGAAAGTATATCTCTGTCTATTATAGTTCCTAAAATAAAACCCAAAACGCAGAAAGGGAGAACAATCATTAAAAAGTGAAGTTTTTAAAACAATAGTATAGAACCCAACGATGTCACTGCAAAATGTAGTTTCTAAAACAAAAGCATAACTAGTTTTTTACAATGCCATTATAAAATGTCGTCTTTAAAACAATATCTTAACTCAGTCAATTCTATGCCTTTACAAAGTGAAGTTTTTTTTTGTGTGTACAGTTTATTTATTTATTTATTTATTTAATGGCAATTTGTCGCACCTGGGACTTACATGAATAATACAGTCTCTTGATCTCATGTTGTCTTTTCCCTCATTTTTTTTTAAACATCAAAGACTACTAGCTAATTTATTAAAATGCTTATTGTATTTCGATACTATGCGAATAAAAGTCTTTAATGTGTTCATCAAAAGAAACAATTTGTTTCATGTGTATAACAGGAGTGATTTATATTGTACATTGTGCAAATGAGTATTTGTTTTACTTAGAAATATAATATTCATACTACAACGATAAAATATTAATATAATTTGCACTACAAGGGACATATATATGTACTGTATTTTTTTGTGTGATTTATATCTTTTATTTCAAATCACCTGGATACATAAACACTATAAGCAGTCCAAGGCAGCTGACAGGGATCCCTGCTTTTTTTTTTTACATATCCCATTTGCTACTAGCCGATGTGCACTTTTAGAGAAACACAATCTGTGACGAGTAAAGGACTTTTACAAAAAAAGTAATACAATTATGTAGTATGTAATATAAATATATGTATAAAATATAAACTATAAAATTAACTTATATCAATAATGGCGATTGTTGGTATATGAAGGTGTATAAATAATACACTAGTTCAAAGTGTGCCTTTTGTATTAAAATGATAACTATAATTATAATACCGAGGCACACGTTCATTTATAAAAGGTATATATATATCTACAAAATGAGCAAAGAATAGGCAAATTCGACTATTAATAGTAATTACCATATTTGAGATAAACGGTCAAGTTTGTCTATTCCGAATAAGATTTTAATGGCCCCGCAACAAACATAGTTTTACCCTAATCCGTCATTCTATCATTCCGCAACGAACAGTTATACTGACCTTTTTTCTAAATGCCTTCACATATTGAGCTGATTTTTAGTATGCGAGTCTACTACGATGAGTTACAGATCGAGTTGTATGCTTGGTTTTGCTCCGCTGATTTTTACCGAAATAACAGGCTTTGGATTTTGAAAATTAGTGAAAATAACAGTTATACCGACTTTTTTCTAAACGCCTTCACATATTGAGCTGAATTTTAGTATGTGAGTCTACTGTGATGAGTTACAGATCACGTTTACGTGTGGTTCCGCTCTGCTGATTTTTGCTGAAATTACGGGCTTTGAACTTCCGACCTTTCCAAATACTAAATTTTCCCGAAAACACTATACATATACTCAATATTAATTCTATTTAGATCTTTGCAGGTACATATAAAATATTCAATACCAAATTTTTTGTCAAAGTATTTTAGCCAGTATTTGGCAATTGCATTCCAACTTTGTGTTAGACTTTCTAAAATTCTATAAACTAATAAATTTTATATGTTTACTTTTTATGAAATTTTCCAAAAATGATCATTTTCATTTTTGGACAGAAGATTGTTTATGTCCAAAATACAGTATCCAGAGCAAAATTTTGAAAATATTTAATTTCATTTTCCATATTTTACTGATAAATGGACTTAATTTTGTTACAGTTAAGAAGTAGATACAGTCTGGTGTTAAAGTTTGTTACACATCAATTACTTTGTCAAACCTTCATAGAATTTTATGAAACTTTGGCGGAAGCTTTTTAATGATTAAGAGATAATTTAAGAAGCAAAGTTTTGAAAAATTATTTTCATTTTCAGTATTTTACTGACAGATGTTTTTTACAGTTAACATTTACAGACAGTCTGGGATTAAATTTTTTGTCATGATAAATTTGTAAACCTTCATAGGTTGTTATGAAACTTTGACAGAAGCTAATCTTCAAGACCAAGAAATAGCATCTAGAG